TGCCTGTGTGATCTCCAAAGTCTTTCTGATCGAGGCATCACTCGCTTCAGGGACATAATACTTTCAGTGAACCAGGGTTTTGGTGTTCTATAAATTTGTATTTTCTCTTTAATGGGTGCATGCTTCAATCTCGTTTTCAAACTGATCTACAAATCCAGCCACTGAATCATTACTTATTGCCATTTCACTCAGATCTTTTGTAAACGCTTCCCTATCCGTGTATTTAAATGACGATATGAGACAAATTTGCTAACAATATTCTCTTCTTAATCTTTGTAACAAATTTTACGATACCACACTTGTTTTCGTTTGAGAAATGGTGTTAAAATAAGTGATCACTTTTTCAAATAGATACATTAAAGGGATGTATGCCTCTTTCTGCTTGGGGATTTGAAAGATGTCATCTCCAAAAAAAGTTTAGACTTGGTGATAAGCTTAAAATTACCTTAGGTCGACCCTAAGGTAAGGTGTAACCAACGCTGAAATGTCTTTGAATCTATCTCAATACATTGAGAAGTTGCAGCACTTTGAAACCAGTTTAAATTGAAAAATCAAATTTTTGGCAATTTTGAGATGTCCCCTCGTTGCCATTGTAATAGGAAATTAAAGATTGAGTATGCGGTTACAATGATTATGGTCGAGTCAACATTTGTGCCAAATTGAACATTATTGAAATAGATAAATACAGAATCCTTAAAGAAAGCCCAACACGGCAAAATTGAAAATGTTGCAGGCTCGGTTTGATTGAGCCTGTTCATGGACGGTACTGGAAAGTGCAAGTTACCGTCCACGCCCCCTAGCACCGGCTTAAGCAGAATTCAAAATTTAACATGAACTGGTAAAATTTAGAATTTTGAAACATCCGCAGATGTGTTCATATTGAAGGTTGTCATGGAACCTTCAATGTGACACGGTAGTGCCATTCCATGAAAAGCGGCATATGGTCCCCAAGTAAAAAAATGCGTATGCCCTAAACGAGAAAACAATGGGCGGAACTAAATAAAATGGAATTTTGAAAGGGGATCTGAGGTTATGAAGCCTGCGTATCACAGATAGGACGTCAAAAGACAAATTTAAAAAGCAGGCAACATATCTTAAGGGGGATTCAACATTATTCAAGTAGGAATATTGGAACCACCCAACTAGAAAGTGCCAAAAAGTTGAAACTAAAAAAAATACCACAAGCACAACAATAATGTCGTGCTGAACGATCTTCAAGGATCGAAAATATAACATCATTGATTAAATGTACGGGGAGACTTTTTACAGTCGCCACACGGCACAATTGAAGTCTTTTTTTATATCTTTATAGCTTTTTGAACTAGTTACAGGATGCATTTCAATGAAAACAGCCATTTTCACAAAATGCACAGGAAGTCTTTGGTTAGCAGTTATAAAGCGGACACGAAACAATGACATTTAATGTCTTCCCTCTTAGAGTGACCTTGATCTTGAGGGTAGTCCTTGCTGCGCTTGGTATATTGTCATATAATTGTTATCACTTGTGCTAAGCTATTTAATAAACCATTCATTAGTGTAAAGGTAAAGAAGCGGACACGGAATGTTGGCATTGATCTTGGTGAAAACGACCTTGTTGTTGCACATCGTCTCATAATGGTGATCATTTATGTCAATTTATTTTAAAAGCTTTTTAATACATGTAGTATAACAGTTATATAGCGAACACGAAATGCTTGCTTTTTTACATTTGACCTTTAAGATAGACCATGACCGTACCCTTTAGAGTAGCAATTTGGTTGTTGGACTCTTCACATTGTCAGATTTGGGTCAAGGTATTTAATGAAACAACTTTTCATTAGTGTAAAAAGTAAGGAGCGGAAATTATTACAAATAAGACACCAAAATACAAACATTTATTTACGATCAATGAACAAACTAAAATAGTTAACTATTAATAGTTGCTACATCACCAACATGGTAACCAAGTTACTCTACAAAATTATGTAAGGCAACATTTTTTAAGTTGCTACATCACCAATATACTAGGTTATTCAGTTACTTTACTAATTTATGTTATACAACATTTTCTAAGTTGCTACATTACCAACATGGTAACCAAGTTACTTTACAAAATTATGTTAGGCAACATTTTCTAATTTGCTACATCACCGAATAATTACATAGTTACTGTACAAAATTATGTTATATGACATTTTCTAGTTGCTACATCACCAACATGGTAACCCAGTTACTTAACAAAATAATGTTTTACAACATTTTCTAATTTGCTACATCACCAAAATGATTTGTTATCATTACTGTTCTCCACATGGGCTTCAACACGTGAAGAACTTGTTAGTTTAAATCATCATTCAGTCTCCTACCATGACCCATCTTTTGGTTTCTTATCTTTATCATAATTTTTACAAAATCTAATAATATGCCCATCTTGTCCACAATGCCAACATTATATTTTCTTTGAACCTCATGAATTGATTTACAGTGTTTCGCCATGTGGCCAAACTTTTTACATTTATAACACTTAAGTGTCCCGGAATGGTCTACCTCCATTGGCTGAGGTACATCATTGTTATCATAATGTTTTTTAAACCCAGTTGCTAAATTCACTCTTTGTTTCAAGTTCTGCTCAGTTGTAGCCAAACTAATTGCCGCCTGTAAAGACTATATATATAGTCATTTTTAACCCTTCATTATTCAGACCATCTACAAAAATGTCTAATAATTGACCCTCAACTATTGGCCGTCCCTGGTCATGAAAAGCAATTTCTGCCAATGATAACAATTCCTCTGCATAAACTTGAATATTCTCGTTATGACCTTGTTTAAGAGCCCTAAGCAAGGACATTGCATGGTGGGAATCAGTTACGTCTGAAAATCTTAAAAGCTAATTCTTCCTTTAACTGTCCCCAAGTGCGGTCAGGATTGGCAGCCATATACCTTTGAATGTAACCCGATACAGCCCCTTTACTAGTTTGAAAAGCTATAAGCTTTTTCTTGTTATCTGGTAAGTTTACCAGCTTACAGTATTTTTCAATGGAATTGACCCAGTCTCAGTAGTTTTTGGGGTTGCCATCGAAGTTACTGACCACTTGCGAAATACCCTGTGCCACGAAAGCTGTAGACACACTTCCAATCTGAACAGCTAATAACCTTAAAGCCTCACGAAAATCTTCCTCAGCTTCAGCCATTTTAATTTCAAAGGTAAAAATAATACAAGTTAAATTATTACTAATTTAAAAGTAAAGTTGGCTAAATGAAGTAAATAGGAAAGTGCTAAGAAAATAAACCAACATTTAGTATGGGTGCTGTCAAAGTGTTCCTTCCAACCGAGGTTTGATCCTGCGAACGGCACCAAAAATATTTAAGTTAATGTAACGTTATTCTTAAAATAATTAACAAACGAAAACGATCGTATAGTGATTTATTCAATTACTGTCCTTAACATAAGTTAAGTAATTTAAGTTCTAACTACGAGAGACTCAACAATGTTAAAACAATGCAATGCTTTTTCTAATGACTTTGCACGTGCTTATGACAGCTAAATGACATACCAAAGTAGTCAATCACTTTTAGTGTAACAAACTTTTGTTACGCCCTATAACCAATCAAAAGCACGTTTACATATTCAAATTTGACTTTTTGTCAAATGTTATATTGATAAACACTCATCATAACAATTAAAATGGTTTTTCTTTAATTGTCATTTTAACGTCTAATTTGACGAACTGTACTTAAATATTGAAATATCATAATCGAAGTAAACAATATCTGTCAGCTTGTAAGCAAATAACACGGTTTTGTTTTACTGCCAGTAATGTATATGTAGTTAAACTTTCAAATTTTATGAGACGACATTCTAAAGAAATGTATATAATATCGACATATAATTGAGTAATGAAGTAATTAATTAACTATAAGTGCCACCATGTTACACATAGTTACTTTACAAAATTATGTTATACAACATTTTTTAAGTTTTTACATCACCAGTATGGTTAACGAGTTAATTTACAAAATAATGTTATACAACTTTTTGTTACAATTTGTTACATCACAAAATGGTTACCCAGTTACTTTACTAATTGTGTTATACAACATTTTTTTACACCACCAACATGGTAGCCCAGTTACTTGAAAAATATGATATAAACATTTTCTATTTCTTTACAAATTGTATTATATACACCATTCTTAAGTTGCTACATCACCAACATGGTAACCAAGTTACTTTACAAAATTTTGTTACACAACATTTTCTAAGATGTTACATCACTAAAATGATAAACATGTTAAAGTTGTTACATCACCAACATGGCGACCGAACAAGTTTACAAAACTTATGTTATCGATAGTTTCAAAATTCAAAATTAGAAAATGAACACATAATCTATGAATGACAACGTGGTAACCAAGAGTCTTAACAATTAAAGTTTTTATGTTGCTTTATCACTTACACTGTGACCTAGGTACTTTACAGGTTTATGTTATAGACAGTTTTTCATGTTGCTTCATAGCTAACCTGGTATCGTGGCAACACTAGTACCCGTGCACCGTTTTAAGCACCTAAATCCACTTCATGGCCAAACAGCGAAACAATGACTCAGAACATCTGCCACAAATACGCTAACACTTTATCATTAACAATTTAAACATTATTTATATATAAATTCATGAAGTTTAAAAAACCGAAAAACTTAACACTTCAAAACATTTCACAAGTCATTTATCTTAATATGTTATTTACCTCCCTTTATTCGTAAATGGTACAAATGAAATAGTACTTTGCTTAAATATTAGATAATGTCTTTTTTATTTTGTAAACTTAAAACATTTATAAAAAGATGGTCAATATGTTAACCAACATTTTGTTTGTGTGTATAGAAGTCGGATTCATTCAAGTAATCAAAATGTTTCAAAATTAAAAAAAACAGAACGGTAAATATGTGAATAACAAAACAAATAGAAGTCTTGTTAATAGAATGGTAGTTTAAAAATCAATTGTTTTAGTTTCACAGAACTTTCTAATTAGATTATTTGATTCAATTTATGACTTTAGTCAACTATTTCTAGAACTATCTAAATGTTTCACTCAAAGTAATACATACAATTAGGTACAACTTTGCATTCAAACATCTTTGTCTAGCTACTAATTCTTATTAAATGGTTGCATACATGTTTAATCCAGTGTTTAAAGGCTGGTATGAAATGGGAAATGCATAATTATTTACATTTGCTTTGTAAATTATTTTGATAAACATAATGTCTGTCAGCATCAATCATTAATGTTTTTATTTTCAGAATTTATTAGATTTAATATGTTTTTGAAAACTTCAGCTGTGTCTTTCCATTTGTAATATCGAACTCATTGCCTGGGTCAAACCTATTTCCTGAAAAAAGTAAAATATCGACTAAATCTAACTGTACAAGTTTAAGGCATTCAGCACAATATGAAGTATATGTAATAAATCATTTTGTTTTCAAGATAATTTTAAAACTTAACAAAAAGTATGAATATCGAATTGTTTCTGCAATCTGATGGACGTTTTACAGTAAAACAATGAAGGTATTAAAAAGTTTAAAAAGGCGTCTGCTCTGTTTCAGAATTTATTAAATTGTTTATTGTAAGTTTTTTAACATCACATCACTAGCCGGTAGATGTTAGACATATGTTTTTTCGACTGCTATTGCAAAGTGATGACTATTATGAATTAGGATATACTAATTTCACGTACCTGATACTACTATACTACTTTTTGGTTTATGTAAGACCTTAGTTTGATCAAACCATCCAGGCCCTGTTGACTGATACAGACCAGTATCACCTCCTACTTCTTGGAGAGGCACTGAAAAATAAATAAACTGAACCTTACAGAAATCATTTAATACCAGCAGGGAATATCACATCAACACGTTTAAAACATACACATACAAACTTAACAAACTGAAAATGTTACAAATGAGCAGATAACATTGTAAAAGAACAAGTAAATGCTTGAGATATTTTTTTTTGAAAATGTTAGGATAAAAATCAGTCTTCAATGTGAACCTACGTGGAGATTCGTCCACTTCGCTTCTTCCAAGAACTTTCCATGTTTGACTTGTGTTAGCTGAAAGAAATAAAGTTAATGCAAAATTAACTGAGTTATATTTGTAACTTATACATGCAAAGTGTAATGTAGAAAAACAAATTACAAATAATCATTATGATAAGATTAATAAATACAGATGGATATACCTTCATCCATGGCCATTGAATTTTGCATCGTAACGTTCAAATATATGATAGTTGTAAATGGATTAACAAAAGTTAATGGTGTATATTTGATTGTTCAATATTTAAAAGAAACTGGTTTGCATTAAAATACTGATTCGTACATTTTGGTTTATGTATAGAAGTGAAACCACTTAACAACTCCATTGCTTCATTGCTTCTGTTTACGTTATTTCCTTATATGCCAAAACACCATATGAACAGCACAAAACTACTCAGCTATGAAAATCTCAAACTTATTTGCATGAGTTTGAATAATATGTTCCGGGTAACCTTTTATTCAGAAGTGAACAATAATATGTTCGGTTTTAATTGATAAACATTTCGTTTTGACAAACTGGCATCTTACATGGCTTGAATTCTTGGACATTTTTTTCCAGCAAAACTACATCATCGGCATATAACAACATATAATTTATACGTTTTTCTGTCTCTATTTAATACCATTTTGGATAAAGATTTCCTTTTTATTAAACAACTTGGAACACTTCACTTCGTAGTATCATATACAAATCTTTACACGATGATGATATTGCGAAAAACAATCACCTACTCATTTGCCCCACTTGTTGGTGTTATTTCAGCCACATAAAGATGCTCATTAGTATGAGTCGTATGATGATGATCATGATGATGCATTTTTTGCCCTTACAGACATGATTATATATGTACAGGTAAAAATGATGAGGATGACGACAGTTTCAAAATGTAGCAAAGAAACAAAAAGACATTATTTGAAGGTCTTTCTGGCAGTTCTTTCTTGCAGACAAGGTTGACACAAACTTTGATGAGATCATGCAGAGTATGTTTAAAGATCGTTCAGAAACGATGTTCCTGAAGAGAGAATGCAAGAAATAATAAAACCTCAAAGGCTGTAAATCGAGAGTAAATCCAGGTATGAGGGATTGTTAAACCCCGAAATTAATCTGATTATGCCAAGATGCATATAAATAAAGAATAATGTAATAAAAGCATCTATAAACATTGTCAAATTTTTACATAAACAGAGTGATGCTGATTTTCTGAAAAGTTCAAATCAGGATCCAATGCCTTGACGTTGCTGGGCTATTCTAACAAGCTTTTAAACAACAAACAAAAACAATCCTAAAGGTATGATTTTGATTCAAACAAATCCTCTGACATTGCCCAGTGTACCATATAATTATAGATTTGCGTGTGAAATGAAACGGAGATAAACAAGAATGTTCAAGACGAACAAAACGTGAGTCGTATTGGTAAAGTATGTCGTACTCCTCATGAAAGACGGTACATAAATTTTCCATATCGTAGCGGCAGTCGCTAATTGACACGTGTATATAGGGGCACAGATTTAAGCTTTTATAGATTACAACATTTTTGAATGCAGGTGTTTTAAAAAATCGTAGGGGTAGAAGAAGTAAAATAGATAAGTCAGGATTTTAATTTGGTTGATTAAGTTTTTATACAGAAAATTGGAGAAAAAATACACAAGATGAAAATATGTTAAACAATGTAACAAAAATTGTCATACAGATTTTTATAGAGATGTAGATAATGAAATTAAAAAGTCACTTGAAATGAAAGTTATAAACATGGTATTTCATAATTGTAATGAGTTTATTTCAACGATTTTACTTGTACCTAAAAGGAAACATGGTAGATACCGAATGATATTGAATAAAAACAAAGTAATATTAATAAATTCACATATCATTATTTCAAGGTTGAGTACATTTGTATCAGTAATTGTTTGGTTAAATCTGCTTGTTATATGACATTAATATATCTTCAAGATCCTGTAATTCAAGTTTTTATGGTTTTATATCATAAATATAATGCTCAAATAAAGATTTATCAATATAGCATTATTTGTACATATTACCGAATTTATATTTCATGTTAACAAAAGGAGGTACACTGAATTTAAATTTTTTCTGTAAAGTCTAAGTCAAATTTTTCAATAAGAATTGAATGCATATATTTTTATGATTACATAAAATGTGGACAAATACATGTATACATGTATACTGCAGTACATATTTTACATATACTTTGATTTTTGAAAATTGTTTTGAAGATTAATTATATAGATACATAAAATTTCACTTTAGTGTGGTAACAACCTTAATCACAATAAACAGGATCTTTAAATGTCTGTTAGATGTTTATTATTCTGTATTCATTGAAGAAGATCAGGTTAAATTGTGATTTGAGTATCGTGGTTTATTGCATCAATACCAAGCATTGCCAAATGGTATTTAGTTTGCCCCAAGAATATTAATGAATCAAATATATGCTTCGCTGCGTGAAGGTGACTACAAAAAACAGAATATATTGATAATTCCTTTTTATATAGTGATACATTTTCAGAAAGTGAACAAAATGTTAAAACACGCTAACTCTGATGACTGATGTTGTTGGTTTAAGTATAAACACAAGGAAATTTGTTCTTCAATACAATCGCCTTTCTAGGTTTAAAGTCAATTCGTAAAAAAATGTTTTCAATCCTTTAAGAAACAAATGTGTAAACACTATTGCAAGAATGCACAGATCTATACAGAAACACTTAAATTTCAATACAAGTTGTGGCGAAAATTCTAGACCTTTTCAGCAGTTGAAAATGGTGATTATTCTTGTAAAATGTATTAAACAGATGTAATGAAAAGTAAAATGAAATGGTGGATAGATAATTTGTGTTCCCAAGAAAGTTTATCAAAGTAATCCAACTTTAGACATTGCACCTGGTGCCTCATCCTTAGTATAGGCTGGATAATGTGATGCCACCAATGAGGCAGAACATCATATAAGTTTAGAGCTTCTAGCAGCTTTTCTCTCTGTTACAGCTATCTGTAAAGATAAGTCTAACATAAATGCCAAAATACAGTCAGATATCACTGGCACAGTAGAGCACATTCTAAAAATGTGAGGTTGTAGATCTTTAGAATGTCATAACTTGGTGCACAACATTGGCTTTGATGCATAGAGCAATCAATTTGGTTGTCATCCATCCATATACCAGAGAAAAGTAATATATCTGATTATGGATCAAGAAACTGTAATGAAAATGTTGAATGGAAATTAGATGAAAACATCTTTATGGATATAACAGATCTCTGGGTTTTATCTGAGATGGATATGTTTGCATCAAGATTAAATCATACATTGTTGGAAACCAGTTGAAATAACATGATTTGTTGACGCATTTAGATTGGTATAAAATGTTCATGTACATTATCGTCTCTCCTTTTAATTTGTTTAGTAGGACGAATTATTCAGAAGGTGAGGCAAGATCAAACAGAATGCATTATGTTGGTGCCTGCCACTATGGCCAACACAGAACTGGAAGATCAATTGTCTAAAACATTTGATAGAAATTCCATACATAGTTCCAGTGACAGCGAAAGTTCCATAGATTCAATTCACAGACAGAATTCATCCTCTGGTTAGAAAACTGATCCTTGTTATATCTCGGTTATCAGGAAATCGCTTTAAAGTAGAAACATTTCAGAGGGGGCTGCCAACATTATCATGTCATTATGGAAACATTCAACACAAAATCAATAGTCAGTTGACAATAAATAGTTTCAGTTCTGTGATGAAAACATGTTGATCCAGTTCTAGTTGCTGTAAAAGTCATTTTAGATTTCTTTACATCATATTTAAATCTGGACTGTCATATGAAAGTATTAATGTTGCAAGGACTGCTTTTGGAAGCTCTTGAAATTGTTCTTGATGTTTTCATCATCAGAAAAAATCCCCTTGTTACAATATTTTATAAAGGAGAATTTAATATGCGTTCACCAAAAGCAAAACATAAAGAGACATGAGACGTTAGCATGTAAGATGAGTATTTAAAATATCTTTCTCCAGGTAAGGATTTATCATTGATGTTTTTAACTTCAAGACTTTCTCTTACTTAAGCTCCAAGACTCAGTCAAGTACTATGTAGATGGTAAAAAACTGTAAACAGTTTATCTGGGTTTGAAATATTAATATTTAAAGCTCGCTTCAACTTGAAAGGCCAGGGTCGGGTCTGTCATATTCTTATTTATGAAATATTGAGTTCAACAGGATAGATGCAGACACATTTGCACAGTTTTATCATAAAGATGTTAAACAACTATGGAACTTTTTAAGATGCTGTTTTATCTTGTTAATTCACTTGTAATAAGGTATTTGCTTATGCTTTTTGCTTATGCTCAACTTTTGTCACTCATATATGACCAAATATTTTGACTGCATGCTTTAAAGTCTCATATGAAAACGGGAGTAGTGTATGTCGTATTTGAATTCCCCCGATTTAACGAGACTTAACTAAAGATGATGTTTGGTTGGGATGATATGTCTTCAAACGATTAATCGTAGGGTAACAACCATACATCAATTTCAGGTAAATTATGCTTGACAAGATCAACAAGACAGGATGGCGTTCAATGAACATAATCCAGCAGCAAGAACCAGTGGCAAGGAGTCAAGGAGGACCCAAAAACAAATACAGGATAAGGCGCAAGGCAGAGTACTGAAGGCTTAATAGATTGTACATTAAAAGAGATAATAATAACCGACAAGGAAATGAAAGAAGACAAATCAATGATAAATATGCCCACAAAGTAAAAGGGCACAGGGGAAGAGGATACTAGTAGATAAGTCTCGTTTGATTGGGAGACTTATTCATGTAAAATTAAGCCCATGAAAAAAATATTTGAAAGATATTCGCATACATTTGATTGTATTTTTATTAGACATAGTGGATATTTAAATGTAAAGGGACGTGTAAGACCGTACATGTCGATTCTGAAGATCAATGATATGACCATCGGATTTAATATTGCAAAGTCCAGGGTTCGAATTTAGCAATATTTACTACTAACTAAAATTAGCTTGTGCATTTTATTCTTACTAGCTAAAATGAAAAGTGACTAGCTGAAATTGAGATCTCAAATTTATTAACATATGATGTACAAATTATCTCAAGTTCTTGGGCCATATGGAGTGGTAGTTGGCCTCTTCTTTGAGCCACCATCTCCTGACTGCTGGTCTAGGATCAAAGTCTTTGAAGCTAATGTTGGCAACAGAAATTCTCATAAGGGTGTCCATCATATCTACACCGAGGTTACATCTCCAGTCAGTTTTGATGCGTTTCATAGTAGAAAATGCACGTTCACAGGAGGCATTGGATAAGGGATAAAAACTTGTTAAATGTATAATCTTCAATATGTCCTTGTAATCTCCCTTATCAGTGTCTTTCTGACTGACCAACTGCCACACTAAAAGTGGGTACATAAGTCTGTACCGAGCAGTACAAGCCACATGTATCATTCCATTGACTAAGAGTATTTACCGAGTCACAATTGGCATTCTGAAGCACAGATGTAAAATGTCTATACACAACTCTCACATCATCAATGCCATAAAGAAGTAGAGCAGCTCTGTCAGTTATAAGAGGCCAATTTTTATGGTCAAAAGCATTACATAAAATATATGTTATCAGACATTATGTTGTCAAACCTTGTAGCGATGCAGTTTATAACTGACTGAACAATTCTTTGTTTGTCAGTGGTCAGTGCACACGAATCATCAGCTAGCATATTTAATAAAGTATGACACGGAACTGGTTGCCCTGAATTTCATGTTTTATTTCTACAACAGCTGGGCCATCATTGTCAAATAGTTGCCTTAGAGTTCCCTCAGTAATTTAGTAACTGCACTGTATACAGTGATATCATCACGCTGAAACAATAAAATGATTTTAGATATTTCATTAAGGACATCTTGCACAAAAGCCATGTACATTATCATTTTATGTTGTTTTAATAGTTTAAGGTACCCTCTTACTTTAGCCTTGTCCTCAGCCTTATTACTCACATCCCCAGCATAGTTTTCCATTTGATACACTATAATAGGCCAATTTTTCAGAAGCTTAGTTACAGCTTTCAGCTTATGGCTGACCCACCTTATACCATTAGTTTTTTCTGGCTTGAGGAAATGTTCTCCTAGTAATTCAGCAATATCAGTTGCTTCTTTGTTTCGCTTAGCTGAACCCTTGTAAAACAGATATATTGAAGTAAGCATCTCTATCACTGTGTCCATATAAGTACCTTTGAAAGAGTCTTTTACAGCTAACTCTAACCTATGTGCTAAACACCAAACAGACAAAATCCAATCAACATTGCCTTCTTCCTTCATTAAACTTATTACACCACGTCGAGACCCCATCATTACATTTGCACCATCTGAACAAAACCCTACTGTCTTCTGTTTGTAATCACGCAAGTCAAATTCAGTAAATGCCTTATTTATAGCCTCCAATATACCTGTTGCTTTTGTGTTTTCTGGCTGTTCAAGCTTTAAGTATTTCATTTTAGGATAATAGTTTTCAAGAACTTTAATCATAATGACCTCTTTCTCAGTTTCTGTTCTGTCAGTTGACCCATCACAGAAAACGCTGAAATAGTCAGCATCATTCACTAGACTATAAACATTGTCACGATACTCCCCAACTATTTCAGAAATAAATTTCTTTGCACTTTTATCATTTACATATGTGTCCCCTAAAGAAATACCATTAGCATTTTGCAGTTCAATCAGTCTTTCAAAGTCTGTAAAAGGTTTCTCATATACAGCTACATGGTATGCTGTTTTGAAGAGTAGGCACATTTTGTCCGATGTAGAGGCATTTTTTTTCTGAAAACCCTCTTCTACTTTTGATGGCTTATTATTACTTTTCCTAAATGCAGCTATTTTCGCATTTACAGCTCTAAGGTGTAACACAGACTTCAGGTGAGACTTCAATGACTCTACCTTTATTCTAGTTGTACCAGTCACAAACTGAAAAAGTAACAAATGGAAACTGTTGTAACACCTTGTCCAGTCAAGATATAAAACATTATGGTAAAATAACAATGCATGCAAATAAAAAAAAATTAATTTAAAGTAATACAAAGCTATTATGGAAATGCTATGAGAACATTTCTTTAGGTCAGATTAGGACCAATGGTACCAAAGGTGGTAGTTATAAAATGAAAACAGTCATAAGCTTCTGAAAAAATGACCTCATAATGAGAGAATAATGCCATGGATCATGTAATGTTGTAAAAGAATGTAAATGCTGGTGATAGCCTTCTGCCTAGGCAGTTTCTACAACTTAAAAAAAAATGGCGATAGCCCTCCCTAGCCTAGGCAGTTTTTATTGCACCCCCACCCACTCCCAAGACCATATAAAAGATTGGACATTACAAGAAAAACAGAATGGACAGAAAGGGACAAGACCATATTTATAACTACATATGATCTTTCCATTCTGGTTAATAAATAGACAGAAAATGTAATTAAATATAAATACCTTAGATACACTGTCTGCAGGTGCAAACATTTTACATGTTTTGCAGGCCATTTGAGTCACGGTTGACGAATCACCCAAAAATATCGAGGTCAACATTAAGTTCTTTTTGCCATTTCTTTACAGTTTTCAAGCTTGCAGTTACTGCCTTCTCAGACGTTTCCTCAATATTTGATTTTGATATTTTAGATGCTATAGAATCTCCATCAGGTTTGTCCGCCGGCCGTTTCGACATTAGAAAATTCGATATATACTTTTGAGACATTTTGACCTTGTTTATTTCACGTGGTAAAGTCAAGCATAACGGGAATCGGATTTTCCAGTACATGTCTATTTATAAAGACCGATCAGAGACGATTACAAAATTATCTACCAATCGTAGTCGCGGGTACCGATTGACGCGCACATGCCCAAAGAATTGGCAACCCAAAAAAATAGAAATCCACAGTTATATTTACAGCAAAAATGCGCAAGACTATCTTTATTTTGCGGCGTTTTAAGTTTTGTTTCAAATTTTACACAAGCATTTATTGAAAAGAAGACTTTTATAGATTTGGGTCCGTTTTTTTATTCACTCGCTAATATATGCGAGTGACTTTTATTGTTACTCGCTACTGTATTCAGAATTTCTACAAGCTATTAGCGTGTTTGCGTGCCTAAATTCGAACCCTAAAGGTTATACATTTGTTATTAAATAACATTAGTATCTGATATTTAGTGGGTCAACTAAAACAACAGCTTGTTATCGAAAAAAAACAGAAAAACATACCCATTAAAAAATATGGCGTCCCTCTTTTGCCTCGATTTGAAAGTAAAAGAAAGTAGTTCTAATATGTGGAAAAAATCTCTTTTTTACATCCAACGGAAAACAAAGGCAATTTTGCTAAAAGTATGAATGCAAAATTATCTGTGATACTTAAGATCAATTTAAGAATGCAAAATTTCAACCATTTATAACCGAATCCAAAATATCGCTTAAAAGACTACGCGTCGTACATGTACTTTCGCTTTCTAAAAAATAATAGTTTATTATATTATACTTGTTAACTTTAAAATTTATATAATATTATTAAACTTGTACACGATATGATAAATAAAAAATAGCAGACAACAAATCCTTGGCATTTATTTGTAATCTTAGAAGGGAAATAACTCATCTAACCTAACGGTAAAATTTGACATTCATTATCGGTCTTTATATTATGACGTCATTGTTTCATGTGTACTATAGATCAAGTTCAAAACCGTTCAATGAATAAATAAATGTTTTGGTTTTCATTGGATGATTGTGACCTTAATACATTTTTACACTTTATTTCCCATTTTGAGAAAAAAAACAGTATAAAGTAAACAAATCAAATAAATAACAGAAACAGAACAATAACAATTCTTCAAAAACATGAAGAAATTCTACTAAAAAAAAAAATACTTTTTTTAATTCTTACCGCCTATTCTATATTATCTAAACCTTCATACCGCAGATGTGTGCGGTACAATACGCCCGAGGGAAACAAGACTTTTTTTAAATGTTCATAAAAGGGAAAATTCACCACAGTCAAGCCGATTTTGTCTGGTGTTTTAATTTCATATACGAATGGATAAAGTCCTCTCGAAATAAAATTACTGCAAAAATGTCCCAGAGCAGCTGCCATAGTTTCCCAAATGATAAAAGTGCATGTATAAAGATAATTCAATATCTTTATTTATTTACTTAGCATGAAAAACAACTATTTAAAGTTTATTTTATCAGAACATTAATGCATATGTAATCGTTTTAATTTCTTATTTTCAAACTATTTTTGTAATGTATTTTTAATCCTTTAACTTCTACTATGTTTGAATAATTGTTGGTAATGTCGGAAGAATAATCTCATGGATCATTCTCATTATTTCACTAAGGTGAAAAGATTTTAGTTTAGTCATACATATATAATTTAATAAAAACGAATATATTGAGGATATTTATATTTTTTTTCTATAAATACAGGGTTTATTTTCATTGAGTGTTATGAAAATAAACATTTCATGAGTGGCGGTAGCCAGGAGTGAAATATTATTATTTTAATTCCACAAGATGAAAGTAAATTTTGTATTTACAGAAAAAAACTTACTTGAATTTTCTGTTTATTGGATACATTTTTCTCTTTTTTGACTTTACAATTTGAAAGACTTGACCTTAAATTTTATATTTTGGCTGAATTAAGAAGGAAATAGACAGCAGTGAAAATACGAAAAAATATCCCTCTAGAGTGAAAAAAATCATTTATAAGAATTTAATAAAATTTCATACTTACCATGGTAATTAATTCTTATAAGATTTTAAAATAATTATCATTCCTACACACCTCATCAGAAGTTTAAGTTTTAAAAACTTTAGAAAACTTAATTCTGTTGTATTGGTACTATGTTACAATAAAAGAACTAGTGAAGCATTAATGTCTGCCTTTCCTTTTGTCTTTTTGTTCTAACTAAAACATGATATTTAGACTGTACTAATATATGACTCTCTCTCTTGTAAACAATTTAAACAATTCATTTTAGCAACAACATATTATAGTTTTTGTAGTAACAGTTTATTGTACATGCATTTAATGCTATTAGTTGGTTCAATTTACCTTGATCTCTCTCAAGCTTTTAACTATGTGGATCACACTATCATTATTTAAAAGCTTTGAATGTATAACCTAGACCCTTCATCAGTTGTTTGCCTATTTAGATTGCAGAACCCAACAAACTAACATATCCGGTTTATATTTAGAGTCAAGTTCAGTAACTACAGGAGTTCCTCAGGGCTCAGTTCTAGGTCGTTTTTAATCTTTATCAATGACCTACCTTTGTCTATGGAAAAAAACGGAAACTGATATTTTTGCTGATGACACCACCCTTTCAACCTCTGATGTATCCCTTAACAGAGTAGTTGAATCTTTTACTCTTGATCCTTGAAATGGCAACAAATGGTGTGATTTGAATCGCATGTCCATCATGTCATGTATTTTTCCTCAAAACACAAGCAAAATTATATTTTTGAAAACAATCCTTGTATTTCATATAAAACAGAGCAAATTTTGTGTAGGTCTGAAGAAAAATTATTGGGTATTACAATTAATAACACCTTGTCTTGGCAGAGCCATATTGATAATGTTCTTAAAATATGTAACTCATTGTTACATTTATGATCTCGTATAAAAATATTCATATCTGTATATGTACGTAAATGTTTTACAATGCATATATATTTTACCACATCTTGACTATTGTTGCATAATTTACGGTAACTGTACGTCTTTTCTAGAAGATAAACTCATTAAGTTCCAAAAGAGAGTTGCAAGACTAAGTCTACACAAAGATTATGACACTCCATCTGCTTATCTTTTTTTCTGAACTCCCCTGGATGATCTTTTCACAGAGGGTTGTTTTTTATAAAGCTATTATGATGTTTAAAATAATGAATAATTTATTGAATAATTTCATTTTATCGTCAGATGTTCATACTCGCATTTTGCGTTCATCATCTGATTTTCAACTTTATACCCCTAGACCAAATACTGAACAATTTCGCAAGTCTTTTGTTTATTCTGGATCTTGTATTTGGAACGGCCTTCCTGATTAATTTAAGTCTGCTACATCTGTGAACCATTGTAAAACCTTATACTTGAGGTATTATCACACATTGATGTATACAAATTGATAGTCTCCTGTATGCATTTACATTTATGTATTTTAATAGTTTGAATATGTTAAATTTATATTGTTCCTTGTTGAGGGCCTCATGGAAGATTGATTTGTGTGTTCAAATGAGTTCTCTCGTTAAATAAAGTCTTTATTATTACTATTTGACAGTTCACCAAGGCGAATCATATACTTTAATACAAAAACGAAAAATTTTCGTGGGTAAGGCATTTACATCTTTATTTCATTCTACTTTTATCTGTTTATTAATTACTTTTTGCTCAATAAGTATACACTTTATGTCTGTTTCAAACAGTTTTTTTTTCGTCCGATTTTGTATCGTTCAAGAGGTTTTCATGATGTTTTTGTCCTTTTCATCCAAGTTTGGAATTATATCATGTTTTATTCATTTATATACAAGCTAAAATAAACTATTTAACTTCCATATCTACTGAAAATACGTATGTACGTATCTTCAAATACAAGGTATACCTGTTAAATTTCCATATTTAGATATTAAAAGGAAAAACCAGTTTGTCTTATTTATAGTCTATCGGTTGGTTGTCTATTTATAGCTTGTAGATAGCCTGATAGCTATTTATAGATAATGTATATATGCATGACATCTTAATTGTTAGTGATATAACATGCTTTGCTTTAACTGTGTGTTTTTTGTTTATTATAATCTAACATTCACGACTCTGTGATGTTCTTGTTGTTGTTAATAACAAACACTAGGTATTCAAAAACATTGTCTTAATTTAGTTTTAAATAGATATTGAAAATAATGACACTCTCATAATACTATAAATACTAATGTAGCGTATCATAAAACGTTTGTACGTGTGTATATTTATTGTGTGTAAATGTTTAAAAGTCAATTTTAATTACACAATTTCCATGTGAAATTGTTGTTCTTGCAATCAATATCTTAGAAATTTTGGCAACTTAATAAAACTTTCGATTGGATTTTTTTTAAATTTTCATATTATTTTTGTTTCTGTTTGTGTGAATATGTGTTCTTGAAATGAAAATGCTTACTATACTTTATGAGATTCTTCACCTGTTTGTCATCGTTAATTATTTTGCTGGAATATTCTCTTTTTGGTAAACTAAGCGTGTCGTTCCCTCTACTTTATTTTTTACTGTATGCAAATTATTTGCTGATAATATAATCACATACTTTCTAAGGTAAACAAAATAATCTCATTTCTCTTATCTTATTTCATTATTCGTGATAATACGGTCGCATTATTGTCTAGTTATATCAACTGATATATAAATGAATATTTTTTTACAAAAGAAGTCAGATATTGACTAATTTCCGATTCAAATGTCACGCATTTCTGTTACCTAGTTTTGTAACTTGTAAAATAGAAATTCTGGAACCAGCATTTAATAATAATGATCAAGACATCAAGACCAATGTTATCCACCCTTTTTCCAGTAATAGGGAAATGTTATAGTTTCTATTTTTTGTTTACTTTTTCCTCTTTATTTTACCCTTTTCACTCCTGCAATTGTCTCACATTATATGATTGTTTTTTGGTATTATTATGAACACAGGCTCTCCTGAAAACAATGCTTTGTTCATGATGGTAATACAAATGTACTTTCATATCTGCTAATTATTTCATTAAAATCATAAATATCCTAGATTAAACAGCCCCCCCATCATGGACACATATAAATACAAGGGTTTTCTTACCAATTTTTACACACTTCTAAAGTTTTTCTGTTATGCATCTTTTTTTGTCATATGTACGTCTATGCTCTATACTGTAACATAATCAGTGCCACAAAAAGAAATATTTTAATACAGTCTCCTTTAAAAGAATTACTGTTAACCACTATCACCTATACCAAAACAAATGTTTTACATGTAATGCACTGAGATTTATCTTCACATTCTTTTGTTACAATCTTGAGATATACATGTAAACCCCGGTCCTGTATCTACAAGCTCCTCTGAAACAGATATTGTCTCAAGCTTTAAGTATCATCTATCTATGGTCCATTAAATGTACAGAGCGTATGACATAAACTCGATCTTCTCTTTGCTGAAATTCAAGAATTTGACATACTTGCTTTCTCGGAAACATGACTTAACGATACAGAGTCAACTGATGATGTTTCACTTTTGTCCTTCCATAAACCCAAGAGGAAAGATCGTACAGGTGATCCTCATGGTGGGGCTATGCTTTATGTCAAAAACAATTTATATTACAAAAGAAGATATGACTTAGAACTAAGTCGTGTAGAAAAAAGATGGATAGAACTAACACTTGAAAATAATAAACATGTCCTATTCGATCTTTTTTATCGTATTTCAAATGCAAAAACACATTATAATAGTGATATTTAAGATCCTATTGCATTAGCTGTAGACTCAAATATTGATACTATTACTGATACAGGTGAATTTAATTATAATGCTCTCATCAATATCACAAACAGAAAGATTCTTTCTATCTGTCAAGAATTTAACATGGAACAAATCATTGAAGGATCCACAAACTTTACAGAATTATCTCATTCATTAATCGATCTTGTACTTTGTATATAACAAAAATACAATTATCAAATCTGAAGTCGGCGAGCATATTCTTGATCAAGATCAGAGGTACCATATACCTATATTTTGTCTTTTTAAATTTCGGAAACCCAAACAACACAGATTTCAATGACTATTAGGGAATATAATGGGGGTTATGACGATAAGCTTCGTAATGACTTTAACAATTTTAATGGGACTTATGCTTTGATTTCAATATAAACAACTACGCTGAAAACGTATACAGTATACCAAACAAAAAATATACATGTCCGGCCATAAGATGCTCCATGGGTGGCATATTCTCTCTGATCAAATATTCGCAAACGTAAACAGTTTTATAGAAAGGCGAAAATTAACACTATCAAGCTCTCACTCGCTAATATTCAAACAATTAAGAAACAAAATAATAACTCAGATCAGAGAGGCTAAATGAATGTAAACACAGTTACAAGAAAAGCATTGATGTAAAGCATCAAAGGGCGTCCAAGCAAAAATGCAGCAAGTGAAGATGAAGTAGTAGACATCAGATGACCAGATATTCTAATAAACTTTTCAATGGTTAATTGGTTTTAACAAGTATTGTATATCATTTATGAATGGGCGGACGAAAGACATTGTTCTTCATGAACTTTGGTAGGCATACTAAAGATTTGAAAATTAAATGTTTTTTCCACAGGAACTTTAATTAGATTAATGTTAACGATAATATCCAAAATATACAGGTCTATAATATCCAAAATATACCCCCTATATGGTATAAGTTTATTTATACTATATAGGGATATCTTTTTGGATATTATCATAAATATTAATTATTTGATAGAATTTCAAGTTCATGTGGTATTTTCTTTGGAACATACAACATAATAGTCAAAATGAATAAGTCTGTATATTGGGATTCTGTATTTATCTATTTTGGGAGATCATTCTACTATTTTAATGACCTAGTCTGACTCATCAGTATGTTTACATGCCTATCAATAAACCCATAACAACTCATGTTAAAATTACAGACGAAGAATGATAATACTATGATAAAATAATTCGTAAAAATTGCCTACTTAAAGATTGCAATTAATTGTTTTAATATGTTTGCATTTCATTTCCTGCAAAATTCTCCCGTTCATTGCGACACGAATGACCGTTTCGGTAAACTAAAACTACTTCTATAAATAGTTTTT